AGACAGCCCAGAAGCTTAATCACACACAAAGGTAACAACCGAAATATTCGAAACTTTAGTTGCTGGTAGAATTTCCCTATTGTAGGTGATGCCAGATAGACGCTGGAAGATGTAGGGCTAATGTTTTGGATTTTAGAAATCGTGTCAACGTAAATCTCAGGAAACAGCAAGAGAAAAACCGTTACAACTGTTACAGTTGTTTCAGAAGAATAATCTTTCAGATAATTAACCCGATACACACCACCAACATGTTATGCTTTGAGTATGCTTACCTCGAAACAGAAGGTTATTGGTCAAGGGAGGTAAAAACAGCAGTTAAATTAAAATAATCAACTGCTTGTCTTTCACTTTGGTACTTTAACAAATGACATCACACCTTATAACCCTGTAACGAATGTAATTTCCTTAAAAACATGTTTATGTGTAACATTTGAAGTGAGAATATTGAAATCATGAATACTTGACCCATTTCTATATATGTTGGTTATACAATCAGTGGGAGCCACTTACATTTCCGCTTTATTTAGGACAGGGACTTTCTCTTATGATACCGTGGCCAGCTGTCTTTTGGTTTGTTCTGTTTTAGTTTGTTTTCACTGAATTGTAATTTAGTTTCTGAAATCCCCATTAGCTCTGCTTTACTTACAACATGACTAACAGGGTATCTTTCCACTAAACTGGACGATAACGTTGTGGTTTTGGTTTTACTTAGCACTTTGTAACACTTGTAAAATTATGCATTTTTTTTTTGTTGAAGTGTCAATTCCAGTTCGCTCTTTGATTGTATTCGGCTACTTATTCTCGATAAGTACGTTTTAACTAAATTTGCACAGGAATAGTCGCGTGCAAAGTAATTCCGAGTTGACACTCAATCTCAATTTAATCACTAAGATGATGCATGTACAGCATATGATTGCTCAATGTAATGACTGATAAATGTATTATTAAAAATTGCGAAGTTTAATAGGCACCGAATCGTCATACTATGCGGAAGCAATTAAGTTATAATAAAATATTAACTCCATTATCCCACATTCAAGGCAAAATACCGACTTCCGGTTTTATTCTACATGCATGACCTTTTTGTACTCAACTTCTATTAAATGTGGTAGCATCTTGAAAAGTGGATTTCTTTTCTTAAAACGTAAAGTAATGGTTTGATCAGAGGTGTTGAATTACACTCACAAATATGAAGTTTTTTACTGGACAAACATTCATTTAATCAGTACAATCTTAATGCTTTTTATCTGTTCATTATCCATAAATATTATTGACGTCACGAAAAATTAACAATCCGTGCTTCGGGATTAAAAAACCCAATTGATCAATTTAACTCGCAACAATGTATGTAGTGATTTTGTATAATAGGTGAATATCCTCACTGTGGAATTTATTGATTAAATTATTGAAATAAAATTGATGATATTTTGTTTATTTCCACGAACTACATGTATGTTGTTTTGCCGGAACGGTCGCGTGTACTCGTGACGTCACAAGAATAGGTACCATTGACAGACAGTGCGAAATTTCGCTTTTGTCTGCAATTTTGTGAGAATTATGGGACAATAACTTTCCGAAGAAGTCAGTTTAATGCTTAAATAACTGCCTATGGACTTTAAAAAAATGTTTGATGAAATTTTGTAATAAGCGTATTGATCGTGATTGGTTGCATGTTAATTAACTATATTAGTCAACAGCTGTTGTACATGTTTTCCACGAAAGAAGTCTTCGATCATTGGTAAGGAAATGTGAGAGTCCTCTCCATAACCTGCTTTATAACTATGCTTAGCGTTGTCTTTTGTCGTTGATTGGCTACAGCATTTCCTTAATTCGTCTGAAGACAACTATGATATATAGGAATTTAACAACATAATAGACTTGTTTAGTATTTCTCAATTTGCTTAGAATCCACATGTTTTCTTTGACTTGACGGAAAATTTGAAAGTTGCAATATGCGGTGCAGGATATATAGCTTCTGCATGAAGTGTATGTTTGGGTGTATGCTGTCTTTATTTAGTTAGAGTGTTTCCCAGCGTTCTGTTGGCTTCTGCTAGGAATATAATAAACAGATTAAAGTGTTGTTAATCGTCTGAATGTTACGTTCCCACTCTAAATATAATACCAGTCGTAAGCATTTGCCACAATATACCTAAATGATGAATGATAATGGATGTAAAACATAGAACCAGAAGGTTGTCATCATAATGGACACACGCGTAATAGGAAGAAACGTAAGCCAAAATACGAAACGTGTACATGTTATGAGCTATCGCCAACATTATTTACCCTGGATGTACACGTTGGTCGCTCTCTTTCCTGTCAATTCTAAAATTTGACATGCGCGATCTTAAACAAAGAGAACTCGACTTACTGAGGCTCCATCAATGGCATAGATCATGGAAACGCTTGTCTCTTAGGGGAGATATCTTGTTGTGTTATCCATATACGTCAAAGTCGAAGAGGTTACCATGGGAGTGCAACGATAAATCAAGCCATAGCAGTTTATAATTTTATTACAGTCTTATCCCATTATAAGCTCTTTCAAGAAAGAAACACAAGAGAGCCGTTATTCCTATTTTCTTTTTTCTTTCCATAATATCGCGGTTACACGTAAAGACACCAACGAGATCCCAATTCAGTGCTATAACCTTGGGTTTGAATTTAACGTTCATGTATATCAATAACGTCGACTACGAACGTACATTGTAGCCACACGTGTATCAACAATATTTAGAACATCACACAAGTATAACGCACACGAAAGTAGAACACACATATCACAAATAAATCTAATACTTTTTTTCACAAATATGCTAAACAAAATGCACCGACCTTAAATTTAGCATTTTATTAAACCACCAATCTAGACCTGCTTCAAGGCAACGCAGACAATCCCTTTGACCATCGGAGAAGCATAGCCGATCTTTTTGACTTTCTCCATGATGTGATGGGTTGTATATCTAATTTAACCCAAATAGCATGTTAGGCAGTAATTAACATAATGAAATGTTAACAAAAACGTTTTTCGCGCCTAAAATCGAGCAAACTACAGGAAATATGAGAACTGGCGCAGTGTTAACGAAACAAATAAAGAAAACTCATGAGCATATCAATAGCTCGACCTCCATACCACCAACAGAATACTTCCCACTGAGATAATGATGGTGATCACACAGAATGGCTATTTGTGAAAGAAATCAAAACATGTGGATAACAAATCAACTTCGAAATGTAAACACTGTAGTCTAGGGGAGCAGAAATATACTTCCGAGAAAGGGAACGTTCATGATCGGAAAATCAAAACCGAGAAGCTGGGAAGAGAGTAACCCTGAAATGGCCGGAGGAAAGCGGGCGATGTAAAATGTAGTGTTTGTGATTTAAGTTCAGGAGTGTATATACGTTCGATTTGGCCAATATAATTCTTGTTATTTAAAGACAGCGCATCGTCGATATATTTGAAAGTGAATTTATAAACTTGGCAATGAAGACATTGCACCCCTCATTTCTGGTTGTGTTTTCATTTTACACTACATTACTTGTCGTGACTTTGTTTACAATACATTACTGGTCGTGACCTTTGTTTACAATGCACCACGGGAAACTGTACATGATGCAGATTATCGATTTCATTACAAAGCGAAACTAAGCTACATGTATTATGAAGTTAATGTAGTATCCGATTCCAATTGAGTGTTGGGTTCTCCATAGCCTCCAACACATGGGTTGGGTTCTCCATAGCCTCCAACACATGGGTTAGGTTCTCCATAGCCTCCAACACATGTGTTGGGTTCTCCATAGCCTCCAACACATGGGTTGGGTTCTCCATAGCCTCCAACACATGGGTTGAACTAGGTGATAAGGTGTCATTTAGCCATAATATGTTATGGAGGTGCCACATTGCTGGCCACCATCAGTCTTTTATAACTCTTTGAAGGCTTAGCCGTTGTTGTACTTAAGTGTGACATCGAATTACGCCTTGAGGTCAAGGTCAGATCATATGTCATCTGAACATCGCCGTAACATCCCATCTATCTGAGATAATGACGAACTCGACCATGGTAGTGTTTGATAGTTATCTTGTTCTTATGTTGCTGATGACGTCTTAACGATCAATTGAAGTGTGGTATCTGATGATAAATCTTTATATCTGTTTGTATTATTTTCAAACTGGCACAAAGATCACAACTAGAAACGTGAACGTGGTATTGTAGAATCGATTAAATCATTATAACGACGTTGTGCATATAAAACAATTTGACCGACTTTATAGAATAATTCACCGGTGACCTTAAACTTTCATTCAGATCAACCATTGCATTGTGAGGCGAAGGAGTAGTACCAGATGTGACGTGACATATGTGCATTTGACAAAAACGAACAGCAATTCGATGATTTGAATTTAGGGGTTGCGATGACGCTAGACGATGATTGATATCTACCGTCGTCACACGCTATTTGTAGCAAGGACGTTAGCCACAATACATTGCGTGTATGCAAATATCACTGCGGATACATAACATTAACTTCTTTTTTAAATTCACTAGTACCTCCAGACAAATCCAAAAAGAGGATTTTCAATACGATATCCAATAACCAGATATACATTATACATTATACTTTATTAACCATACGTTACAATACATTATATAGTAAAAACTTGCTACAACAAACAATGTGTTCCTTTTCGCTGTTGCAAAAATATCTCATCATGTATAACATAATTCAGACACAAGCAAACATTTCAATATGATATTGTAAGATATGAATGAGACGTTGACAAATCAAATTCAAGGAATGATTTATTTTAAACAAGTTTCCGTATTTTCTAACGGAACGATAAACTATTTTATTACCTGAGTCGTTTTGGTAAACATTTTCATGTAAACATGATATTTATATTACCTTATACTAGGAATTTATTAGTTAAGTAGTTATCTTGATATTTGCGCAATAAAATAATCGACACCAAGAAGTAATGATGAAAAAGTCGGTCAATACAGCAAAAAGTCGACCACTACAGCAAAAGGTCGAACACTACAGCAAAAGGTCGGTCAATACAGCAAAGGGTCGGTCAATACAGCAAAAGGTCGGTCACTACAGCAAAAGGTCGACCACTACAGCAAAAGGTCGGTTAATACAGCAAAAGGTCGGTCAATACAGAAAAAGTCGACCACTACAGCAAAAAGTCGACCCAGCAAAAGTCGACCACTACAGCAAAAAGTCGACCCAGCAAAAGTCGACCACTACAGCAAAAAGTCGACCACTAGAGCAAAAGGTCGGTCAGTACAGCAAAAGGTCGACCACTACAGCAAAAAGCCGACCACTACAGCAAAAGGTCGGTCAATAAAGCAAAAGGTCGGTCAATACAGCAAAGGGTCGGTCAATACAGCAAAAGGTCGACCGCTACAGCAAAAAGTCGGTCAATACAGCAAAAAGTCGCCCACTACAGCAAAAGGTCGACCACTCGGTCAATACAGCAAAAGGTCGGTCACTACAGCAAAAGGTCGACCACTACAGCAAAAAGTCGCCCACTACAGCAAAAGGTCGACCACTACAGCAAAAAGCCGACCACTACAGCAAAAGGTCGGTCAATACACCAAAAGGTCGGTCAATACAGCAAAAGGGCGGTCAATACAGCAAAAGGTCGACCACTACAGCAAAAAGTCGCCCACTACAGCAAAAGGTCGACCACTCGGTCAATACAGCAAAAGGTCGGTCACTACAGCAAAAGGTCGACCACTACAGCAAAAGGTCGATAAATGCACCAAAAAGTCGACCACTACAGCAAAAAGTCGACCACTAGAGCAAAAGGTCGGTCAATACAGCAAAAAGTAGGTCAATACAGCAAAAGGTCGGTCACTACAGCAAAAGGTCGACCACTACAGCAAAAGGTCGACCACTCGGTCAATACAGCAAAAGGTCGGTCAATACAGGAAAAGGTCGACCGCTACAGCAAAAAGTCGGTCAATACAGTAAAAGGTCGGTCAATACAGCAAAAAGTAGGTCAATACAGCAAAAGGTCGGTCACTACAGCAAAAGGTCGACCACTACAGCAAAAAGCCGACCACTACAGCAAAAGGTCGGTCAATACAGGAAAAGGTCGACCGCTACAGCAAAAAGTCGGTAAATACAGCAAAAGGTCGGTCAATACAGGAAAAGGTCGACCGCTACAGCAAAAAGTCGGTCAATACAGCAAAAGGTCGGTCAATACAGCAAAAAGTGGACCACTACAGGAAAAAGTCGACCACTACAGCAAAAGGTCGGTCAATACAGCAAAAGGGCGGTCAATACAGCAAAAAGTCGGTCAATACAGCAAAAGGCCGGTCAATACAGCAAAAGGTCGGGCAATACAGCAAAGGGTCGGTCAATACAGCAAAAAGTCGGTCAATCCAGCAAAAGGTCGGTCAATACAGCAAAAAGGCGGTCAATAAAGCAAAAGGTCGGTCAATACAGCAAAAAGGCGGTCAATACAGCAAAAAGTCGGTCAATCCAGCAAAAGGTCGGTCAATACAGCAAAAGGTCGGTCAATACAGCAAAAGTCGACCACTACAGAAAAAAGTCGACCACTACAGCAAAAGGTCGGTCAATACAACAAAAGGTCGACCACTACAGCAAAAAGTCGGTCAATACAGCAAAAGGTCGGTCAATACAGCAAAAAGTCGACCACTACACCAAAAAAGTCGACCACTACAGCAAAAGGTCGGTCAATACAGCAAAAAGTCGACCACTACACCAAAAAAGTCGACCACTACAGCAAAAGGTCGGTCAATACAGCAAAAGGTCGGTCAATACAACAAAAGGTCGACCGCTACAGCAAAAAGTCGGTCAATACAGCAAAAAGTCGGTCAATACAACAAAAGGTCGACCGCTACAGCAAAAAGTCGGGCAATACAGCAAAAGGTCGGTCAATACAGCAAAAAGTCGACCACTACAGCAAAAAGTCGACCTCTACAGCAAAATGTCGACCTCTACAGCAACAAGTCGACCACTACAGCAAAAAGTCGGTCAATACAGCAAAAGGTCGGTCAATACAGCAAAAAGTCGACCACTACAGCAAAAAGTCGACCACTACAACAAAAAGTCGACCACTACAGCGAAAAGTCGACCACTACAGCAAAAAGTCGACCACTACAGCAAAAGGTCGACCACTACAGCAAAAGGTCGACCACTAAAGCAAAAGGTCGACCACTACAGCAAAAAGTCGACCACTACAGCAAAAGGTCGGTCAATACAGAAAGTTCGAGCAAAATGGTACAAAGTCGGTCAACACAGAAAAGTCCTGTCGGACAGAGAGAAATCAGCAGACTGCATTAACACAAGTTAAAATTCAACACGACATGCGAAGTTGGACGGCTAAATGGATCAGAGTGGAAGAAGGTACTACGTTTGTTTTTGAGTCGGCAACACTCACCGTTAATTATACACATTGACGTACTATTTAAATAGGCAGATTGATATTTTCTGGGATCGGTCTTCTAAAATCAAAGTCAATACGTCACAGAGCACTGACTAATGATCTTTATTTTGTGTATGAATGCTTTAAAATTAAATTAAAAAATATGTCTATATTTAATCTGCGTTTGTCTATATGGTATTGTTGTTAGGTATTGGAATTTTATACAGTGTCATACAATGTATATGGACATTGTAATGTTATATTAGGTATTGGGATTTTATACAGTGTTATATATGGACAGTTTAGTGTTGTTAGGTATTGGTATTTTATACAGTGTTATATATGGACAGTTTAGTGTTGTAAGGTATTGGTATTCTATACAGTGTTATATATGGACATTTAAGTGTTGTTAGGTATTGGTATTATATACAGTGTTATATGTGGACAGTTTAGTGTTGTTATGTATTGGTATTATATACAGTGTTATATATGGACAGTTTAATGTTATGTTAGGTATTGTTTTATATATACAGTGGTATATATGGACAGTTTAGTGTTGTTAGGTATTGGTATTATATACAGTGTTATATATGGACAGTTTACTGTTATGTTAGGTATTGTTTTATATATACAGTGTTATATATGGACAGTTTAGTGTTGTTAGGGATTGGAATTATACACAGTAATATATATGGACAGTTTATTGTAATGTTAGGTATTGGTATTATATACAGTGTTATATATGGACATTTTACTGTTTTGTCAGGTATTGGTATTTTATACAGTGTTTTATATGAACAGTTTAATGTTGTTAGGTATTGGTATTTTTTACTGTGTTATATATGGACAGTTTAGTGTTGGTAGGTATTGGTATTCTAAACAGTGTTATACATGGACAGTTAAGTGTTGTTAGGTATTGGTATTATATACAGTGTTATATATGGACAGCTTAGTGTTTTTAGGTATTGGTATTATATACAGTGTTATATATGGACAGTTAATTGTTGTTAGGTATTGGTATTCTATACAGTATTATATATGGACAGTTAAGTGTTGTTAGGTATTGGTATTATATACATTGTTATATATGGACAGCTTAGTGTTGTCAGGTATTGGTATTTTATACAGTGTTATACAATGTATATGGACATTGTAATGTTATATTAGGTATTAGTTTTTTATATAGTGTTATAAATAGACATTGTTATGTTATATTAGGTATTGGTATTTTATATAGTGTTATAAATGGACTTTGTAATGTTATATTAGGTATTGGTATTCTATACAGTGTCATATATGAACATTTTACTGTTATATTAGATATTGGTATTTTATATAGTGTTATAAATGAACATTGTAATGTAATATTAGGTATTGGTATTTTATATAGTGTTATAAATGGACATTGTAATGTTATATTAGGTATTGGTATTTTATACAGTGTCATATATGAACATTTTAGTGTTGTTAGGTATCGGTATTATATACAGTGTTATATATGGACAGTTTAGTGTTGTTAGGTATTGGTATTATATACAGTGTTATATATGGACAGTTTAGTGTTGTTAGGTATTGGAATTATATACAGTGTTATATATGAACAGTTTAGTGTTGTTAGGTATTGGTATTTTTTACTTTGTTATATTTGGACAGTTTAGTGTTGGTAGGTATTGGTATTCTATACAGTGTTATATATGGAAAGTTAAGTGTTGTTAGGTATTGGTATTTTAAACAGGGTTATACAATGTATATGGACATTGTAATGCTATATTAGGTATTAGTATTTTATATAGTGTTTTAAATGGACTTTGTAATGTTATATTAGGTATTGGTATTCTATACAGTGTCATATAAGAACATTTTACTGTTATATTAGATATTGGTATTTGATATAGTGTTATAAATGGACATTGTAATGATATATTAGGTATTGGTATTTTATATAGTGTTATAAATGGACATTGTAATGTTATATTAGGAATTGGTATTTTATACAGTGTCATATATAAACATTTTACTGTTATATTAGGTATTGGTATTTTATATAGTGTTA